GGCGTAGCCGCCGCTCCCCTTGCGCTCCCGGGGTGCAGCTCTGCTCCAGCCGAAGTCCTGGCGGGGTCCGGGGGCTGCCTGGAGGCGAGCGTGCAGGCGATGCTGTGGGAAGCTGCACTCAAGCAGGGGAGATGTAAGAAAGCGTGGCTTGCTGGCCCTGGAGGAGGGACGGATCAGTGGTGGTAGTCTGGGAGCCGTTCAGAGGCCAATTGCAAACCTTGTGCTGTTTGCTCTGCCTCTGAAGTGTTTACACTTGTACCCCCCGGTCCTTTTTGGTCTCTTGGTCTCCTAACCTGACACAAGTTCTTCTGGTTCATAGTAAGGCTTTTTCTCTTGCTCTCGCCTTCGTATTGGTGTGGGTAGCTGGCATTCGCTGCTCTTGTTTGCAATGTGGTATTTGTGAGAATTGCTATTCTCAAAAAAAAAAAAAAAAAATTAAATATTGATTTTAAAATGATTGTTTTGGCAAGAGGGCTGTTTCTGACCCTTTGATTTACTGAAATCTGAGGAAGATGGAGGTGAAAGGGGCAGGGCAAGCCATGGCCTAAAACCCAGTGGAGAGCAAATGACGTGGGTTTTACTCCGTAAAAAAAAAAAAAAAACAACTTTGTGTTCAGACAGAAAGTGGAGAAAACAAGCAGGGTTGGATTTCAGCTCAGATGGATTCTTGGAGCGAATCCCTAGCTCTCGCTCACAGCAGCTTTGACTTCAGTGCGGTGAGCTGGGCTGACCGGAGCAGGGTTGAGCAATGCCTTACTGGTAAGCAGGAAGGAGGGCGTCCCGTGGAGCCGTGCGGCGGGGGAGCATCCCAACCTGTGAGAAAGCTACGCAGCATTTGGGTTTTCTCAGGGTGTTTTTAATACTTAAGGCCAGCTCATTCCTATATCTTTTTTTTTGGGAGGTGGCTTGTTTCTTGCAAACTAAGCCTGCCAGTCTGCGTTGAACCAGGGGACACCGCTGGCTTTGCTGAAGCGCTGCTATGCAGCATTCCCACCCAGACATGCAAAGGGGCCAACACCTCTCCCTCTCCCACCGTGGGGGGACTGAGGCTCAACATCTGTGGACAGGAGCCCAGTAGTTGGACTGCAGTGAAATCTAGAGCAGAATCTTTAAGTGAACTCTCCTCCAGGAGCTGAAGCATTGGTTATCTTCGGTTTCAAATGCCACACGTTCAGATTCAGTGGCCGAAATACACAGCCTGACCTCCAGGCCATGCGTGTTCTGTATAAAAACAAATGAAAATGGGTTCCTTGCCGATGCGTGTCTGTTGTATGCAACAAAGTAAAGATGTGCTTGGAAACACTGGAGGATTCTAAGAAATAGGTGTTGATTTCAAACATACGCGGGGCATAGAGTTCTGTGGTTGGAAAATTGATCTCTGTGAACACAGACAACTGCAGTGGACGCAGGGCCCTTATTACACTAATTACTAAAGTAAATATTGCTATGGTAAAATTGCAGTCAGTGGAGTAAAATACATTATTCCAAATGATAACTTTATTAATAATGCACCATCTGTTTAGTATATCAGAGATGGATCTCCTGAATTCCCATTTCCTTTCCAGAAGGAATCACGACTGGGATCCCCAGCAGCAAGCACGCGCCCTACGAGACGGTAGCCAAAACTGCTCCACTGCAGTAAGAAGGTGAGCAAGAAGAACTCTGCCCTTGTGAACCTCGCGGTATCGTTTCATCGTTAATTTACCTTCCGTTGAGGGTTAAGTTTTACCTGCTACAGCAGGAAAATGCCGCAGCAGGTAATACTATGTCAGCTATTCCGAGGTGCTCTTCTGATTTGACTCTTTGTGCTCCTGCCAGTCTGAGACAAAGGCTGGTGATTACTCGCTGCCCACGCGGAGCGACGTTCTGCTCGTTATGTAACAGTAATCCACCTCCTTAATTAGGGAAGAAGATCTATAGATTCCGAAGACGACATGTCCCTCTTAGTCAGAAGGCGTGAGGTGTGTGGGGGAGCCTTTGTTCTTGTTGAGAGCCAAGGGAAGCAGCAGGCTTCAACTGCTGTAGCTGGGTGATGAAGTTCAGTTTCCTTTTTTATCTAGGCTTTGCTGGAAGGCGTGTATGTGTTAACCAGTAGCACACGAACAGGAGATGGTGCAAGCGACGGCTTTTTCATTCTGAATAATAGTGGTTTTTCTCTGTGCTGGAATATTAGATGCTGCAAATGTCCGGTCCTCTCCCTGCCCTGTAAGCAGAGTAGCCAGGGTAGGGGCAGGAGATTCAACATGGGATTTAAGGTGCGTGCCTCACTTGTCCTGTGCTGTTTTCTCCCACCTTTGGCTTCGCGTTGATCCCACTGTTACTGTCTGGAAGTGTGCGACAAGGCGGAACCGTAACAATTTTTGTCCGTTCTGCTGAGGACAGCTCTTGCAAATCACCTTGTATTCCATTGCAACTGTTAAATCTTGGGTTCCAATCTTCCCTGTACAAACAACCAACACTAAAACATTGTCTGGTAGTGCTGACTAACAAATCCTGTAATTAGTAATCTCCAGTTAATGAAGCAGCGTGGTGATTAAAGCCTCATGACTTTTCTATAGAAGAAATAAGCTGAATATCAGTTGTGCTGTTTTAAATTGCCCTAGGACTTTGTGTGGTCTAAGGGCACAGGATAGATCAGTAGCGTTGTTCTGAAAGTTTTAGACCAGTTTGTCCATTTTGTTGATTATTTTCCCTGTTTGCCCCCAAATGCAGTATTGAAATTTGATCTCAACTGGAGCGATGCCTGTAGCTGTAGTTCACCTTCTGGTAAGCCTCTCTGCGTAAAGGAGATGGGCCACGCTGGACAGGTAGACTTTAGCGTGCTTGAAGGAAGTGATGGTGAGATGAAGCATGGCGTTTGCTCTGCTCTGACTTCCTAGAAACAGCGTTTCGCCAGCGTGTTGCCGCTACTTCCTTTTCCAAAATAGTTTCTGCAGTTTTTCACACAACCTCATCTTCACGTATCATTTTCTCCCAAGGTCTTGAATCCCGTCTGCAGTTCTGTGGCGCCACGCGTGACGCGATGCAGTTGGGTCTAACCACATCCCAGTTGTCCATCGTTGCCCTGCTGGTCACCAGATGCTGACTTTTAAGTGCAGCTGCTTACATGAAATACTTAGAAATCTTTTCAGTAGGCTTTAAAGAAATGCTATCTGTTGCTGCTTGGAACACTCAATAGCTGGAAATTTCACGGGGGATACGGGCTGCAGTACATGGGTGTTGGTGTCACCTTTCTCTGGTCACGTCCGTCTTCGCAGTGTAATGCTTGGTGTGAGCGCTTCCCGTGGAGCCTCAGAAGTCCCTTCGTGCATCAGCAGTCCTTTTGTGAAATCCAATATTTCCTGTCCCATGTGTAAAATGCCAGCAAGGTAAAGGAACTTAAGCTTGGTGAGATGACAAACCCGGGGCTGAGAACAGGGTATCCTGCCTGCATGCTTCTGTTGTCCTAGAGATGGATTATCTTTAGATCAAGGGTGCTGTATTTCAAAGAAGAGAAGGAGCGTTGCTCGCTTCTATTAGCGTGCCCGTTGGAACTGAAGGGGCAGGAGGCTGAGCGCGTGTTTCAAACCTCCCTGTTTTCGGGAGGAGTTTGACATCCCCGCCGGGGCTTTGGGGAGAAGCGGGTTAGGTGGAAACGTTGGAGAGGTGACGCATGGTTGCTGTTGTGCTGCAGTCGCTCGAAGGAGTTGAGATCGATGTCGCTCCAAAGCCAGTGTTTCTGTGTCCCCGCGTGTGTCGCAGCAAGGCTTTTGGAGGTGGAAGCAGTGGCTAAACACACACCTTGGTGACTCTTGGGCCTCTTACCTTCTGAAACCCAGTCTGGTGGGAAAAACTGCATCTAGAGTAACTGCCTGCAGTGAGCTGGGCTGGACTGCAGAGGTCTCTGTTCAGCCACCTAAGCCTTTCGAGTAGTTTAAATTTGAAAGCTGTTGTTACTCTGTGGCCTTTTAACATTAAATAATGTATATACGTTTTGATAAAACAGACTGTCACGCTCCCATTGCTTTAATTGCAGCTGCAGCTGACAGTGCAGTCCAGCCAGCCCAGCGGAGCGGGGCGCTCCAGGGGACACTGCTCCTTGCGGGTCTCCTTGGAGCACGTGGAAGAGTCAGCTTAGGCTTTCCGAGGAGGAGGTTGGCTTTCCTCGCTGCTGCTAGCACTGAGCCTAGCTCCACCGAGCAGTCCCGCTCTAGAGATGCCTACAAAAAGCCAGGTTTCTGCCTCCTCGCCGTCCCGGCGGTGGGTGTCGGCAGATGGCAGCACCCTGCCCTGCGCCGGGTGTTATTTCTGGCTGGGAGATTCCTTGGTCCCCTGGATTCAACACCACAGTCTAGACTTACTGACAGACAGGATTCTTCTCCTGTTAGGTAAGCACGATGTAGACGCCCATTATGCAAATTCCCAGCCATAGTGTCCCTCTGTAACATTTTTCAAATTGTCTAAATAAGGTGCTGTTTCATACAAAAATTTGTAGCGAGACTTTTGGGTAGCTTTCAGCTGCCTTGCCCTCTAGGCATGATTTTTTTTTCCCTCAAGATAGCTAATCACTGCAGACTGAGTGCTTTTTGCCCTTAACAGCTGTCCAGTAGTGGAGCAGTAGGAAGAAGCAGGCTGCATAAAGAGCTTATGTTCTTCAAATAAGAAGCTTAACGGCCAGTAGCTCTTGTCCCCATCGCTGCAGGGCTGCTCATATGGGCATGTACATGGATTCTATTAAATATAATATCATTACACAGACTTAACAGGCATTTTTTGTCTCTGAGCGCTGTAAGCGTGCATCCTGGGGAAGAGAAGGGTTGGAGGGTAGAGCGACCCAGGGCCTTTCCCCATCGGGCTATCAAATCTGGACAGTGTTGCCCTGTCCAGTGGCTTGTGTGACTCGTGTCCTTCGTGTCTTAAGCCGAAGGAGGTGGGGATTGATCACAACCGATTGTCTGAAGTGGCTGGGGGTGTCTGTGGCATTTTTTCTCCTTTTTTTTTTTTTTTTTTTTTTTTATTTAGAAAAAATATCTGCCGCACTTTTAAATTTTAGAAAGTTTTGTCATTTCCTTTTTTTTTTTTTTTTTTTTTTATTACAGAGAAATTAAATGAGCCTTTCAGGCCTGATGACTGCTGAGTTATTCTTGCAGCTGTAGACCAGAGAGGCCCTCATCATGTATGAGTACTAATTTCTGAGCACTTAGTATTCCTTCAAATGTTTGATAATGCGGTTCTGTAACTAATATCTGTCCTTCTGCCCCCAGCCTGAAGTTGCTTTAGACTCTTCAAGCCTCAGAGCACACAGTTTGACACAAATAGCTGGGAAGAGATGACGGGAGGCTTAATAAGGTGCTCGTTGGGTCAGTATCTGGCAGCCAACCAACAAGGCAGATTTTCAAATTGCTGCTAGTACTGCGTGGTGATCGCATCTCTGCTTAAGAAAACATTGGAAAGCTTCCTGATCTTGAGTTCACTGCGCAGGCACGTGATTTTCTGGGAATTAACTCGAATGCACTGCAGAATGGTTCATAAATACCTACATGGCCTAATGTATTGGATAATGGAAAAACACGTACAGCGGGGGTTTTGTCAGTTTTCTTCATGGTGGCCCTGCAGCCGGCCCTGGTGGCCTCTGTTCGTACCAGCAGCTGCCAGCTTTGATGATGCTTCTATTCCTTACCTGTCTAAGAAAGGAAAAAAGTCTTGTGGGTTTTCTTAAACTGCAACATTACTCCTGTTTTATCAAGTGTTATTTGTTTTGGGGCCTAGTTAATTCTTTAAAGAATTTTTTGTAGCTATTTGCAGGGGAAATGATAACCCGCTACCTACTCTGTGGTGCTGCGAAGCTGCGGTGTTTGGATATTCAAGCTGATGTTGACAGCCAGGAGCAAGACTTTGTCCTTTGCTGCCCTCGCCGTGCCGGGTGGGACTCTCCCTTCCCGTCATGTGGGCTGTGATCCCATCCCTTCCTGCGTGGGAAGGCTGTCCTCCTTCAGCCTCCTCCCATACTGAGCCCTGAAATGGGCTCTGCATGGTAACGGCTTCTTGCAGCCCTCAGTTACTGGTGATGACTGGCGATACCATCTTTCATCTGCAGCTTCCCAATACATCCGTGCTCCTGGTAACTTGCACGGGTTAAAACGTCTGCCTGCTTCCAGCAGCGTTATATAAACCATCTCCAGCTCGCCTTCTCATTTTGAAAGTTGTATTTTAACATTTCTGCTTTAAGATCTGAGATAATGAAAGGGGGTGAGCGTTGCTGAGTCAGTTCTTACTGGCTCTGGGTTTTTGTCCTTCCTGCCCTCCCACACGCTCCACCTGCGCACCGAGCTAACCTTCAGCGGCGACAGCCCCCATGGGCTTTCCTCCCAACAGCTAGCAGTAAACAGAGCCTGGTTTCCCATTCTCCTGCTCCATGACCCGAGATAACAATCTGGGTTTTTTTTTTTTTTGGAAAAGCCCTGGCTGAGGAGCATTGGAGATCTGGGAAGAAAGAAAAAGGGGGGGGGGGGGGGGGGCCTGAAGTTTGGGCAAGCTGCTGCTCTGTCCTGCCTTTGCCAAACTGGCAAACAGCCAGGGTAATTAAATCAACCTCTCCACTGAAACACCTAAACCCTGGGTAAACAGGAATATATCCTGACGGTCGTTGCCAGCTGCAGAGCTGAGGTTTCATTGTTTGACAGCACTCTATGCGACGCGGAGG